TTTGTGGAGAGCACCTGCAACAGGTACAGTGCACAGTGTTTAAAAAAGGAAAACGGATTATTTTCGAATGACTTAAAATGTAAAAGCAGAGATGGCCCGTCAGAAACAGTGACGTAAATGGCCTGCATTTCCGACGTATAATACATACGTCAGAAACGTCGGAAACCTACCCAAAACCATTAGGTTTTTGACAAAACAGCTATTTCCATTAATCAGTTATGAAATTACGGATGTTTTACTCAAATCCATATCAAATTTCAAAATTTTATTTTCCGATAAGTTTGGAATTGTTTATCAGTTCCAGTAAAGAATAGCCAGATATATATAAAAATGATATATATTGTACAAAATACCTATATATGGTAATGATATTCAAATAAATGACGTTTACTACATTTATTACATTTTATACAGGTATATAACGTTTTCGACGTTTACACTTTTTTTACAGTCGAAAACCTAAAAATTCGTCGCACGGACCATCCCTATGTAAAATAAATATTGCGTTTTTTTTTTTTTTTGTCAAAAGGACCATATCCGCTTCCTGAAATTTTGCATACCCATACACAAGTGGTCCTATGTCCCACATGAAAGATGTCACAATGAATTAAATCACAAGATCTCATATTGTAGACTAGAAGGTAGTTTTCTAGAAGACCAGAAGTACTTCTTGTAATAGACCTGAATGTATTCTTCTAGAAAGCCACTAGGTCTTATCATAGAAGAACAGAAAGACTTCTTGTATAGAAGAAGAAGACTTTATAGAAGAGGGCCAGAAGATATTTTTATAGAGATCAGAATTAATTCTTATAGAAGACCAGAATGTTATTCTTATAGAAAACCTCTAATTTAAGACCAGAAGGTCTTCTTATAGAATACCAGAAGGTCTTCTTATTGAAGACCAGAAAATCCCATCCTTTTTGTAGAAGACCAGAGGTTCTTCCTATAGAAGACCAGAAGTTCATCCTATAGAAGACAAGAAGGTCTTCCTATAGAAGACCAGAAGTTCGTCCTATAGAAGAACAGAAGTTCGTCCTATAGAAGAACAGAAGGTCTTCTGATAAAAGACCAGAAGAATTTCTTATAGAAGACCAAAAGGTATTCCTATAGAAGACCAGTAGGTAGAAAGTCTTCCCGATATTATTCCTATATAAGTCCAGAATGTATTCTTATAAAATACCATAAGGCCTTCTTATAGAAGACCAAAAGGTATTATTTTAGAAGACCAAAAGGCATTATTTTAGAAGACCAACATGTGTTATTATAGAAGACCAGAAGTTCTTCCTATAGAATACCAGAAGATCTTCCTATAGAATACCAGAAGGTCTTCCTATAGAAGACCAGAAGGACATCTATAGAAGACCAGAAGGACATCTATAGAAGACCAGAAGGACATCTATAGAAGACCAGAAGGTCTTCCTATAGATGTTCAGAAGGTATTCTTACAGAAAATCAGATCTGCTTGCCTTATTGTAGAAGAATACCTTCTTATGGAAGATTAGAAAGTCTTATATATAGAAGACCAGAAGGTCTTCCTATAGGAGACCAGAAGGTCTTCCTATAGAAGACCAGAAGGTCTTCCTACAGAAGACCAGAAGGTCTTCCTTTAGAAGACCAGTAGGTATTTTTATAAAATACAAGAAGGTCTTCCCCATAGTATTCCTATAGAAGACCAGAATGTATTCTTATAAAATACCATAAGGCCTTCTTATAGAAGACCAAACGTTATTCTTTTAGAAGACCAAAATGTCTTCTTATAGAAGACCAAAAGGTCTTCTTATTGAAGACCAGAAAGTCTTCTTAGAGAAGAGCAGAATGTCTTCTTAGGGAAGACCTTATACAGAAGACCACAATGTTTTCCTAGGGAAAACCAGAATGTCTTCTAATAGAAGACCAGAAGGTTTTCCTGGAGAATAACAGGAGATATTTTCATAGAACCACAGCTTTTAGAGAAGTCAGAAAGTCTTTTATAAAGACACCCTGTTACAAATGGAAACGGTCTTAGATAAGACCAAAACGTCTACTTGCCTAAGTCCAGGTCTGGTAGAGGACCAGCATATATTTTTATAAAAAACAACCACAGCTCGAAATATTCTTTGGAGTCCGCATAACTGTACCGCTTCATTTTCGGTATAATAAAGGTTTTATCCGCATTTTGCCACCGAAATGACTTTTATTTGTCATTCCGGAGTATTTCAGTTATTGGATGCTGAGAATTATCCATATAAATCCATATTCTGATATATCTTCCATATACAAAAGTGGCTGCAATTTTCTACTCGAAGGGGGAAAGCATTTTTGGAGCCAATTTTCTATGTAGTTCCCTGTTTTGGCATAACCACCATAAAGGTCCCGTCCATTTTCGGCATTTTTATGGTATTAGCCAATCTACATGTCTGTGAGTTGTTATAAACGATTTTGACTTATTCTTAAGCTATTTTGAAGATTCAACTTATGGTGTCGGGTGTAAAAAGTTCAGCCTGTCCGAACCTAACGACTGTGATCTTCATATTATTGTCTATATAACACCAAGTTTTTATTTTGTCAATGCATTTAAACATTGCAACCTACAATCTGAACTACCAAGTGGCAACAAAAGAGGGCAAAATGAATGCAATTGTAATTGGAAAATAAAAACCAACAACAACAAACACATTTTTCGCCATTGGACAAGTTTACAACAACAACACATCATGATTCTATAGAAAATTCTCAGTTGTTTTTTGGTTTTCAAAACCAATTGAATTTTTATTACATTTTCAATACAAACTCAGAGCTAAACAATAATATTACTAACAACAACAACTCTATATGAATATTGTAACAACAACAACAAAACGTTAATGACTTTTATGTCAGTCATGTTTTTTTGTTTTCAAAATTTTAAATATTGTTTTTCTTGTCTCTTTCTCGTTTGTAGGCTTTAATTTGGTGTCAAGGATGGCCTCTAGTAACACCTATTGGCGAAGTTATACTTCATTTGGGGGGCCTTGATGACAAGTACGTGAAACCCGCCGAGATTTATTTATGTGTTAAACCAGGTAAGTGTCAAAGTTGTCAACAACCACACTTACAACAATTTACGAAAATAATTTATAAAAATGTAGCAAATAATCAAAACCAGTGAGCGGAGCGGTATAGTCGGACGGGGCCGACCATACGATACCCTACACAACTATAACGGAAATCTAACTTTCTGCGGAATTTCATTCCGAGCCTGGCAAAATTTTGTGATAGTTGCACCCTCTTGCCCGATTAGAGGTCAACAGCACCTCTTCCTTACACTGGCATATTTTCCGAATATTACTAATATTCAGTACAGTATTTCCAATTACTTATCCTGATTCCCTTGACCGTGTGTTGTGTTGTGATGTTCCGTTGTGGCCTATAGATCGACTCGAAAAAAATAAGTTTTCAGTCCACTTCATCCCAAAATTATTATCTGATCATCACCGAAAATTATAGTCGTTCTCTTTGACCACTACTGACTACTACTGGAACCTCATGGAACAATTCATAGCGATCAGCTCTATATTTCCGCCCTCCAGTGTGGTAATGGGTTACTCAAGAATATCTCAGTACGTAAGAACCTGTAAATATTTAAGTGTATCTCCCACATCCAAGTACATACTACAATATAATTGGTATCAATTTAAAGGTCAACCGCTCCTCTTGGATATACTATCAACTTCTCGGGTCTATGTCCGTCAATAGTAAACATATACGCCATAGAATACAAATTTTGTCATTTTTCTCACAAAAGTCAGAGTCCATTTGACCCGCTAAATAATGACAGATCTTCTCCATGTAAAATTTCGCGATGCTCGGGCCATAATTGCGGCCTCTACAGTGACCAGAAAAACCGACAAAAATTAAGTATTGGTCCATTTCATCCCCTAAATATTAACCCCAAAAACAATAGGGGTCTTCATTGGGCAGAACCCATCCTACATGCAAAATTTCGTGAAGATTGGTCCATAACTGTAGCCTGTATCGTGTTTACAAAATATAATGGACAGACGGACGGACGGACACACATGTCTAGATCGACTCAGCTAGTCGAGATATGACGATCGGTATTTTTAAAGGTGGGTCTAGGACCAATATTTCGCGGCGTTACAAACTTTTGGGGCTGCACAAAACTATAATACCCTGACAACATAGTTGTGTAGGGTATTATTAAAATGCCTTTTATAGGCGATCGAAGCCCTTTAATGCCTTTTAAGACCACAGAAAATCAAAATGCCTTTTTTAGGCGATAGAAGCCTTTAAAGGCCTTTTTAGACCACAGAAAATTAAAATACCTTTTTTAGGCGATAGAAGCCTTTAAAGACCTTAAAATGCCTTTTAAGGCCACAGAAAATCAAAATGCCTTCTTTAGGCGATAGAAGCCTTTAAAAGCCTTAAAATGCTTTTTTATGCGATAGAAGCCTTTAAAGGCCTTAAAATGCCTTTTCAGGAGATAGAAGCCTTTAAAGGCTTAAAATGCATTTTTAGACCACAGAAAATTAAAATGTCTTTTTAGGCGATAGAAGCCTTTAGACGCCTTAGACAACAGAAAATTAAAATGCTTTTTTTAGGCCATAGAAGCCTTTAAAGACCTTAAAATGTCTTTTTAGACCACAGAAACTAAAAATGCCTTTTTTAGGCGATAGAACCCTTTAAAGGCCTTAAAATTTCTTTTTAGACCACAGAAAATTAAAATGCCATTTTGAGATGATAGAAGCCTTTAAAGACCTTAAAATGCCTTTTTTAGGATATGGAAGCCTTTAAAGGCCTTAAATACAAATATTTTGAGAAGAATTTATTATTGTGTTATAATTTCTTTTCTCTTGTATTGCAGGTGAAAATAAGTCCGAACCAAAATTGTATGCCATTTGGCGTACACCAACGCTAAATTATATTGCCAAAACTCGAACAATATCAACAACAGCGACAACATCATCATCGCCGGCGTCAACTGTTACGAACGAGTCACCAAATTCATTTTCCGCAGATCCCACCCTGAAAATTGTCTCCCTCGATCCATATGATAATTCTCTGTACCTGAGTCCCATTGCCCTCGAAATGTTGAGTGACGATTTGCCACAACTTCTGCAAAATCTGCTAATTGGTGTTGAGCATAGCATAGAGCGTTTATCGCTCAATCAGCTAACAGGACCATATCATCATCAACAAAACCACCACAACAACAATGTCGTCTCCGACCAAAAACCATCATCGATGGCGAATAAAGAAGTGGCGGATCAAAAGAACACCACCAACAACAATGCAACCACCGGTTCACCAAAATGTATCCTGAGACGCAGTGAGCTGATTACGAAAAACAATAAGCTACACAACAACAAATATATGTTGCGTCGTTTCACCAATCGTCAGGATAGCATGAATTCAACATCGTCGGGTAATAGTAGTGCCAGTGGTCTTAGTACTGCATCGAGTAGTTCCAGTAATTCGTCATACACCAAGGGACATTTGAATTATGCTAATAATAGAAATAACTGCAGCAACAACAACAATAATAATAGCATTGCTAATGGTCAGAACAACAACAATAATAACGCAAGCAGCAACACCAACAACAATCTATGTGAAAATAATAACCAACCGAACGATTCGAATACATCACCTGCCCTACCGAGATTTTGTTTGGGGAAATCTTTTCCCCACATTGACAGTGACGAAGAAAATGCCGAAGATAGGCGTAATTCGTTGACCGATGGTAAGTTCGAAACTCGAAATTAAACGACATTTTTCTTAACGATTCATCAATGCCCAGACGAAACCCCAAAGCTGTCAGAAAAGTCTGGGTTTTTGGAAACAGTACTAAATTTTGTTACAGTTTGAATTTTGAGGTACGAATGGAACTGAATTCCAAAAAATTGAAATAACAATACCGTCGGATTACATGTAGTATTGCGATATGTAGGTAGACATTTGGATTTGGGGAAACCTATATGGCTGCAATCCGGAAATTGAGAAATAAGCTTTATATTGGTTGAATTATATAAATAGATTTGGAAATTCGGACTTATGAATAGATTTGGAAATTCGATAGAGCGTGAATTCTCAAGTTTGGGGTTAGGCTGATTGTTGGGGTTTAGGATTGAGATATGTGGGAAGTTTTCGAAATTTGTACTATATTTGGTACAATTTGGATTTGGTAGGTTTCCCCAATCCGGAAATTGAGAAATTAGGTTTATATTGGTTCAATTATATAGATAGATTTGTAAATTCGGACTTATGTGTACTAAATGGTACTAAATTTGGTACAATTCGAGTTTTAGATGAACCGATAAATCTAGAATCCTTAAATTTTTGAGTTAGGAACACTGTAGGGGAGTAAGATTAGAGCATGTAGGAAGTTTTGGAAATTTCTACTAATTGGTCAAATTTTGGTGAATCAATCGGACTGGAATTCTAAAATTTAGAATTAATATATTAGAATGTAGGTTTGGAGTATGGATATAGTTTTGGAAATTTGTACAGGTGATCCGATAAGAATTGAATTGGATTATTGAGTTAGGTAGTTAATAAAATTATATTAATTTGTGCCAAATGGTACTAAATTAAGAGCACATAAAGAAATAAATCGTAACAATTTTATTATAGATTTCTGTTGTGCTCAGAATTTATGTGTAGTGATGAGATATGAATGTCGATTTTGGAAATTCCAAATATTTTGAATGGGATTTTCAATTGAAAAAACCGATTAAACTTATAGCCCTATCATTTAGAGACAAAAACATTGCTAATCACATTGAATGTATTGTCTGCCTAAGAGTTAAATAGGTCCGGAGCAGGTTGGAACCTGAGCCTATGGGCTTCAAAGTACAGAAAATTAAACGGGACATTTATATGTGGGTTATATTTATGTGGGGAATTTGTCAACCTTAAACAAGTATGGCTTTTTCATGCAAAAATCTATCTTAAAAAGCGGCAAAGCGGACAGTCAAAGAGGAATTAGTTAGAGGAGTTGTGTTAGAGACAGGATTGCCCGGAGCACAATGAATCGTCTTCTACTGTTTTGAAATTTCACCGAAGACTTCTGGCAAACAAATTGTGGTATATCACGCAGAACTGATAACCTACATAGATCCAGGATTCGTCACCTGTGGCGATGTTTTTAAGCACAGCGATGGTATTTTTCCAATATGTCTTTGCACCATTCGACTCGAACCCTTTATGAACGACTGCCAAATTTTTATAATGAGGTGCAAAAAAATCAGATGGTCGGTATAGATTTTTGTTGAAATTTCTAGCCAATTTTACATATTTCCATGATCTAGTCGACTTTTTTTTACCAAAGTAGCTGTAATTGGACATGGATCGACAAGGGCAGAATCGTAACAAACCGCCCCTTTTCTATGAGCATGATTGTCCTTGACGCTTTCCAATCAAATTGACTGTAATTTGACATATAATAACTTGAATAACATAAAATAACTTTCTGAGTCGATTTATGCATGTCCATCCGTATGTCTGTACATGTTATATTGTAAACAAAGTCCAGTCGCATTTAGGATCCGAATTGGATGAAATTTAGCAAAACTAATTTATTTGGGTCAAGGGCGAACGCTATATATAGCGTACTGCGTTAAGTGCAGAATGACGTGTGTCAAGTTTCGTTAAAATCGGTTCAGATTTAGATATAGGTCCCATATATATTTTTGTCCGATTTTATGTTAATGGTGCACGGAAGTCCTTATATATCTTTCGATTTGCACGAAATTTTGCATTGCGCACTGAATTAAGTCTAGAATGATGTGTGCTAAGTGTGGAATTATATGTGCTAACATTCGTGAAAATCGCTTCAGATTTAAATATGGATCTCATAAATTTAAATCTTACGATTTTATGTAAATTGTGCACTAAAGACCCAAAGATTGTCTAATTGGCATACAATTTTGTATTTGGATGTAATTTAAATTAATCTTTGGCAAGTTTCGTTGAAATCGATTCAGATTCAGATCTAGCTCCCACATATATATTTTCGTACGATTTTAGATAAATGGTGAACCAAACTCCTACTTTCCTTACTGGTTTTCAATATAGGTCCATCAATAAAGATTCGGTCATTTCAGGTTCTTTCATGGCTCTAACTGCATTTTCTAATAGAAGTGGGTATCATTTGATATTCAGGCGTACAAAACGTATTCCCAAGAACATTTAAATAAAATTTCGTATTTTGCCACAGGACTCATGTAAAGGATCATCCTAATTTGTGTATGCTAAACGACTTTTTAGGAATTTTAATGCGAACCTTATGGTGGTTGGCAAAAAAATTTCGGTCCAACTGAACTTATTGTCATTATTTGATTTTTGCCCAGGTTCGTCACAAATTCTGCAGAACTGACCGTCTCATAGACCGCGACTCCACAGTCTGATTTTATTTCCAATTTATTTTTTTATACCCTCCACCATAGAATGGAGGGTATATTAGTTTTGTTTTTCCGTTTGTAACGCATCGAAATAATCATTTCCGACCCTATAAATTATATATATTCTTGATCAGCATAAAATTCTATGACGATCTAAGCATGTCTGTTGTAATCACTCTAGCTTCTAAATGAATTGAGATAGAACGCCAAAATTTTGCATAGAGTCGTCTTTTGTCTGCAGGCAGGTTAAGTTCGAAGATGGGCTATATCGGTCCACGTTTAGGCATACCTCCCATATAAGGGTACCCCCAAATTTTCAGTATTTTGGGGTTCTTGAGCGCGTTTTTCAACCAAATTCGCTGAAATTTGGTACAATGGGCTCTTTTTGGATACCAAATTTCTCAACTAAAAATTATAACTTTAGGTCCACTTTTTGCTGCAATTTGGTATTTCGTAGTCGTATATGGTAACAGATTTCCCAACCAAAAATGTTTAATATTCGCCCCCTTTTTGGGGTAGTCCCCATATAATCCCCTTTTTTATATTAAAATAGTTATCTGATTTGTTCCGCTTTTTGAGTTTGGTTCTAAGACTCTGTTGTAATCATTACACCTGCAGAGGATAGCCAGATAAAAAATTAGAACGTAAGGTTCGATAATAAACTATAGCCGCATTTAGACCAATCTCTGTGTGGAGGTTCCAGAAGGATTGGACCGATTTTCCCCATCTTCGAATTTGAACTAAGTTTGGAGAAATAATACGATGGGCAAAGTTTGGATGAAATCTAAATATTCTGAAACGGATTTGGTCCAAAAAACATGGGGTCTAGAACGACATTGAGGCATTAGCCATAATGCTGAGGGTATAATTATCTATTATAAATACATTTTAAATAAATTACTGAAATTTGTATTAAGGTTTACATAATCCGTTTTTAGAAATGTTTGTATAGGTCCACTTTTTGGTATGTTCCCTATGATTTCATTTCTAGTACCTGTCAGTATATCTATGGTGGAGGGTATCTAAAGTTCGTCCCGGCCGAACTACTAGTTTTAATCTAAATAATTCCATAAAAAACACATTAAATTTCTAGCAATAAAAATGTCAATGCCATCTTTATTTACATTTCATTTATTACTCTTCCCCCTCCACATGGGATAACCCCATTTAACATTCTTCTTACATCCGAAACCATATCGGAATTTGCCAAAACGTGTTAGAGGTACATTGACACGATTACACGAATTATATTGCCCTATATTCATGGCGCTCTCCAAACAATTTCGATTACAAAAATTGTGGGCGTAATTAAGAAAGAAAATATGTTTGACCGTACGCGGCACTCCGTCAATCACAAAGACTTCTTGATGTATAATATCCCGATGTTCGGCAAGAAATGTTTCATAGGCCAATTTTAGACCATCCAAATCGGCAATAACTTCTTCGATTTCGTGTGTAAAGGAAAAATCCGTTTTTAAACGACGCATTGTAAGGCCAAATTTTGGATAATCAAATATTTCATCAGCCATGTTGTAATCATAGGAACCGTCTAGAGTGATTTCCAAGTTCTTGGGATTAAAAGCCTTGGCGATTTCTCGGGCCAAATGAAAGCTCAACGAACTGTAAAGGTATAGATCTTGCATGTCCAGGCTGTAGTAGGGGTACTGTAATATGGTTAGGGGTAAAAAGATACAATTTTGGCGGGCATATAAACGAGGCAGATGGTATTGAGCAGGGCTGTCCTTTATTCCAAACAGGGTATTCAGAAACATTAGTTCACTTGGAGTTTGTGGAGGTGCGTTTAGGCTTTGATGACTAATATTGAATTTGAAATTCCTTACTTTTAAAATATTTCCATAATAATCATCTGTTGTGAGATTTAAATTTCCATAGAATTTTTCAAAGGTTTCAGGGGAAATATCCACAATTGTTGTTAGGTTGAGATTTTCTAATTTCATATCCAAATAATTTAAAATGTCTTTGCCAAATTGATAGACATTTAAATGCAGGATGGCATAGAAATTCTCTTTTAGTTTTCTGTAAATATCTTCAATCACCAGAACTTCACGTTTAACCTCTGGATGTTGTTCTCCATATAACCATTGCAGGACCAAAGGAAATTCCACCCATGTACTTGTCATACAATTCCCCTCTTCACGTTTCACATCTTGACGAATTAGATCCACATAAAACTGCAAATGTATGTAATCACAAATTAGGGAGTTATCATATTCTATCAGCAGGGCAAACAGCCCCTTCAAATAATCCACACTTTGTATGTACAACTGCATTTGCGGATCAACATTGGTTTGATTTAGAAGAACACATAAATATTTCTCCA